ATAATACAACAATAATAAATACATTGTACAAAAAGAGAAACTGTCATAATATAACACTCTGTGTAATTTTAAAACAAAATTGTATAAAATTTTATATAGAAAATTATTCGTAAATTTATTAATTGTACTGCTAATTTGTTCTCCCTACATTTCTCAATTATGATCTTTTGTGATTGATGTAAAATAGTAGCACAAAATGAGAATGTATGTTTGAGTTGAGTCATTTCATCTTACGACGCGCGACAAGGCAATTTTGATGTAAATCAACAAAAGGCTATTTATCCCTTTTTCATGCCACGAAGGTAAAGGCGGGGGAAGGCAGAGGGCACAAACAAATTTTCAATTACTACGTACAAAAGAACGGGTAATTCACAGTCTAAAATGTCTTTGCGTCATGTACACATTACGAGCGGCGTGGCGTGTGGGCTTGAAAAGATTTCTAAATTAAATTTTGGGATTAGTATCCAGGTTTAATGCGGACAAGTGATAGCAGAAGATGTCCCAAGGGTGTGCTATACGCTACCTTGGTCCTCCTACCAACCCCCATGGGATCATCATACATACGGCCTACTGTGTAAGGACACGACGATGTGCCGTGCTGCCCTCCTCGTAATACTTCACGCGCGTTTCCATTTGCTGGATGTAAACTTGTTCTCTTTTTTCTGTTTTCTCCCTCTCCCCCTCTCCCCCTCTCTCTCTTCCTCCCTTTCTCTCTCTCTGGAACGTCAATCTTCACATGTAAAACGGAATGCCTGGTTTCTCGAGTTACTGTCAGAGATAGACAAAAATGCGTACATAGATCGTGCAAACTGCAATCTTATTATTTAAAACTGATAATGGACGTATAACAATACTTATACATAATCAAACAATTATTTAAAAATTACTTTGAAGTAGGCAATGGTTAGAATATGAAATTTAAATCAATTGATCGCTAGTCAATTAAAAATAAAATTAATAAAAATTTTGGAATGTCTTCATTAAAAAAAAATTTATTTACATCGCTGTAAATTTAAGATTTAGATGTAGTAATCATTGTAGTAATTATATAAGTTCAAATTTCAATATATTAATATTTCTATCAGGATTTTTATTAGGACTACTTTCCCATCCTTAACATTTTTATCTTTAGTACCTCTAAGTATCTCTTATAAAATACTTTTTAGTACTTATAATCTTTGTATTTTTAGAAAGCATCTTTTTCTATGCTTTTCATATTTGTTATTTAGTTATGTATAGAATAAAAATCTTATAATCAAACAAAATTAGAACAATGTCTTTATTTTGCAATTATAGGAAATAAGAAAAAGTGCAAAAAATATGGATTTATTTGGTCTTAACCAAACAAATAGATACTAGAATAGAAACGTTAAGAAATACACACATCTTTATCTATTTTCACTTTTGAGATAAAAAATATAATTATCAATGGCGTTCATTGAATTGGTATATCAATTGTCCAGAAGACTAAGAAATCGAGCTTTAAGGCCAGGTTTTGACATGAGCTGTCCGACACGAAACTTAAAGGCTTTGACAGCTATTAAAGCAAAAGCCTGTTTCTGTCTCGCTTTTTAGCACGAGAAACAAGCTGTGTTAGACGAAGGGGTATTTTGAGGGCCGCCATTGGCTATCCACGTTCCTTATTGTCGGTTGCCTGGTAACAGGCCTGCTACGAACACCGGTACACCCTCGATGGCAACCATCCTGCAGCCGCTACTGACACATACACCATCAGACTCGGACGAGCGTAATCTACCACGACACACTAGCAATAGCAACCCTCTCCGCGGTCTTTCCGCGCGTACACGCACATCCCTCTGTTCGCTCTGATCATTGCGTCTACATACACTTCGGGGTTTCCCTGAGCATGTAAAGCGCGTATATAGCATATATACACTTAGCTACCTCCCTTTCTTAACATGCAACAAAACTTTCGAATTGTCGATTTTTAACGGTTATATCTAATATTGGATATCTAATACGTATATATGGATATCTTTAATTTCAAAATTTCATACGAGAGAGAGAAAGAGAGAGGGGGGAGGAAGAGGGGGGGGGGAGAGGGAGAGAGAAAAAGAGTTAGTAGATATATGAATTAAAAAAATTATTCTGCATTTTTTTTAGAATAATCATAGGAAATATTAGATAATTGAAAACGTCATTGAAATTTCATATTATAAGTGAATACACAATATTAAAGTAAAATTTAGCATACGATGTTGTTTGTGTAAGAATAGATACTATTTTATATTTATTATTTGTATTACTTCAAAATTCATTCTAATACACTACATACTTACTCTTAGCTATTATAAATTCTTAATATTATGATAACAAATATATTTATATTAATAATCATAAAATTGGATATCTAATGATATCCAACATGCATTGTGCTTGTTGGATATCAATATGATATAAAAGTTTTAATATTCAATTCTGTTACGAGACTGAATAAATAATTATTTTTTGAGAGCTTGTACTCTTTGGCGAAGAAATTTTGAAGATAGGTTTGGATATTAAGAAGATATTTATTATCTATAATATCGGGATAATATCTAAGAGCGAATTAGATAGTCTGATTAACGCTTCGCGAGAGCGTTATTAATTAAATGGTCGTATTAACGCATACATTAGTGCATACGCATAGTTGTTTGCATAATAGCTAACTAGATTTGATTAATCGATTAGGTTGTGTATTCCTTAAGCGATGCGACGCAACGCAACGCGATGCGACGCGACGCGACGCATCTATTCAGATGAAATGTTTTCTCATACGAACGATGTTGATCATTTTCATATTGTCAAACATTAGCCATGATAACGAATACAGCTCATTAGCAAAATGATATATGATAATTTTAAATTTTTAAATTGTCTTTCACGTTAAATGTCAATAACTTACTTAATAATTATTTTATTGTCATTCCTTTCTTTACCTTTATTTCTTTAATGTAAGAAAACCAAAAAATTTTCTATTTATGTAAAAATCCTTATTTTAGGATATATTTCCATAAGATGATTGGTTCGACGGCTTGAAATAAACGAGTGTACTTAAAAACTCGGAACAAGAAGGTAACGTAGAACTGAGGGTTTAAAGAGGCCTCTTTGCAGAACTGAAAACAATGCATCGCGCAAACTACAAACGTTGTTATACTCCGAACTTGAAATATTTATTTTTTCTTTCTTATTCCATTTTTCTCCTTTATTAAATTCAAATGTGTTCGACTGCATGCGCTAATTAGATATTCCTGATCATGATAATTTATATAATAAATGTAAATCTTTTTTTCTCTCAGTATCCAGTACTTATTAAAATATTTTATAATAAAATTTATATTTGTATTAAAAATATAACTTGCGAATAGTAGCGAATCAAAATTTACATTATTTATTATCATAATGAAAACATAAATTGTTGCAATAACAATATATGTTTAGAAAAAGTTTATAAGTTTTATAATATCCATCGTAATTAAAAAATGTCTATTCTTTATGTGAAAATAGCATTAAAACGTCAACTAAACGGGAAAAAGTGTTGACCAATCTTCTATGTATTAATGGTGACGTCAGCGAACATTTCAGACTCCAATTAGTCGAGGGACATGTATAATTGGAATTTAGCTCTTAATTACTACTTAATTAGCCACCAGCAGTATCAGCGACAGCAGGAACGATAGTAACGAGAGTTACCCTTAGGGAAGAATTTTATTGTGCACAATGCTTCGGGATGCTTTTCGCTCGTTAATTTGACATTAATTTACAATTGATAATTATTTTTGGCCAACGGATTTTGTTCGTAGCTGGATTTCATTGCAAGCTTTCAAGAGTGCCATGTACTTCTATATATCAATTTGTCGGAAAAATTGCCGTTATTGCCATTGCGTATGCGACAATCATTTCACAGAAATTTGATAAATTTGATAAATTGCAGGCTTTTATAATTGCAACATATAATTTCTTCGACAAAAATGTGTGTATATATAACGGAAAGATGATTGAGAAGTTAGTTAATATAATTTATTAATTTATTTTAAATTAAATTTATATGGACGTTTTGAAATTATTTTTTAACGTTTATTTTTAACGTTTTTATTTGTAACGTTTAATTAATATTTTTAAATAAAGATAAATAAATTATAATTAATTATAATATTTGTACTTAATTATACATACTTTAAATGCTTTGACTATATACTACAGTAATTAGATATAGTGCAATAATCAGATATATGTAGTTGAACTATATATATAGTTATTATTGCTAATATTATAGTAGTAGCCAGAATCATAATTATATATATAGTAATATGTGATTATAATTATAAATATTAAACAGTTTTTCTCTCAATGTATATATTATTGTGTTTTGTAATTAAGTAAGAGAAAATAATATTTTATAATATTAAATGACTTTAATTAAAAAATTAAAAAATTTAATGCGCGCGCAGAAAGCAATATATAGTATTAAACCTAAATGAACTTTATTTAGGAATAAAATATTAGTCTAGCTTGTTTTTGTAATAAAGCAAAGTAAAGCAAAAAGTAATGAATTGATAAGGAGGTAAATTATCGAAATGTAAAATTCACACTTTTTATACATATTTACTAGAGTGGTATTCTGGGTCCAAATCATTGCCAAGTCTGATGTAATAGGTAATTTGATACGTGATGTATACCTACGCAGTTTCAATATACAGAGCTGTATAATCATCAATTATAGATAATGCTATCAAATAATGAGCTGTGAATTCAGTAAAATATTAAATCTCGACACATCTCTGATTTTTGTAATATACAAACATAAATTCCGCTAATTTAACGCTGCTTCATAATTACGTTTTTCTTTTTACTTTTTGTTAAAGTATAAAATTGCAATGTGTAACAATAATGATAAATATTAATAATAAACATACATAAATATACTGTTACTTTCTTAAAGTTAGACAAAAATTATAAATATTATCACAAAAGTTTTATATGTTCGTCTATTATTACAGGTGTTGGACACAATATAGAGTCGGGAAAGGATTTCACGGTAGATGGACTCTCAGGTTTTAGTAAAAAAAAGAAGAAGAAACGTCGTCATAGGTGAGTCTCTGCCAGAAACTTTGCATTTTCCTCTTAGACCACTTTTCTCAGTGAAATAAGACTGTTCAATATTTTAATGGAAATATCTATACTCGTTAACAGCAACTTGTAGTTAGTAAATATTCTTTATTTAAGGCGATCCTTCAGTAAATCGAGTTACTAGAAATGTCTTATTTTTTTATATAATGAAGTTGAAGTATCGAAATTGACATGTGCAAAAGTTCTACAGTAGGTTAACAATAAAATAAGAGAGAAAAAATAGTTAGTAACAAGGGAAGTTATCCAGATGTCCAATTAATTTTGAAAAAATAATGTTTAGAAGTTGTAGTATCCTATCTTATATTAAATAAAATGAGTGCCATTTGCTCGGAAAATTTGATATTTGTTAAAAGAATGGTATTAAAGTCTTTTGTAAGCGACTCCGAAAATAAGTTTAAATGAGTATTTTTTTCATAAATTTTTTTATTCTTGGATTTTTTTTACATATGTACAAGTAATATACGTAAGTGGAATAGAAAGAAACTTGGGTCTCGATTGATGGATTTCAATTGATTTCTAATTTTTCTACCTTATAGTATAGCAAAACTTACAATAAAATATTTTTAACTTTTTAAATTCCAATTCGTTGAAAACGTATAATAATATAGTAATGAAAATGTATAAGTAAGAAAACATATATGTATTTTTGTACGTATATACATTCGTACAACTTTATAAGTATATCATACTTAAACGCAATTCCAACTTTGAGACGGATAAATAAACAAATATTCAAAATCCATCATTGGAATCAACGAGATTCAAGTTTTCCTTTCTATTCTATTTACGTATATTACTCACACGTAGAAAAATCTAAAAAATAAAAAAAATTACAAAAAAATGTTATTTAAACTCATTTTCGGAGCCATTTATAGCGGATTTTGAATTCATTCCTCTAACAAATATCAAATTTTCCGAGCAAATGGTACTTATTTTAATTAATAGGAGGTAGGATACTATAACTTTTAATCATTACTTTTTAAAACTAATTGGATAATTCCCTTTGTTAATGACAGATAAGGTCCGCAGATGCTTTTTTGACTAACTGCACATAAATCTTACCATAGACTTTTCTTAGAAACGAGATTATAATAGTTTGAAAAATTACGATTTTTGGTCACAAAAAAATTGTAGGTCAACGGCCATTCTGGAAAGATATTTACGTGCATAAACTTGCATATAAATTTAACCCTGGAAAATAAACATAATCTTATCTTGTTTTCCTTCGATGAAGATGCAGCTCTTGATTTACTATTTTATTCAAATTATGCAGATATTTGTAATTTTGGGTGAGCCCTGATGAGGCACCCTAAACTTTTGGCACTTTACTAAAGAACAACCTTAACAGTTTTGTATGACTATTGCATATTGATAGTATAGTTTTTTATTTTGAAGCAATAGAGAATTTTATGGTTATTATTTTATATAAAATAACTTTAGTATATCCAAATGAAATGTTACACAAATTCTTCGCACTTTCAATTATTATGCTATTTGATGAATGTTATTTAAAACAATCCTATACAATCAACATTTAAATGCAACTACAACTACTTTGTGTAAAATACAATTGTATGATATTTTAATGATTAATTAATTTAATAATTTCTATATTTTTAATTTTAAAACTTAAACTCTCGATCAAGACACGATTACAGAACTTATACAATACATTCAAATCCCTACGGCACAAAGTTGCAGCAATATTGTAAAGATTTTTGCAGCGATACTGTTGCAAATTCTGTTGTAGGGTAATCTCTGGCAAATATGCCACGTTAGGATTTACGCCGCAGAAATCAGAAAAAAAGAAGAAGTGGGGGTAATTTTCCCGCAACTACTCTGTTACATGCCTTTATGTTATATTAGTTTGTGTTACGATTTCAGTTTTTTACTGTTAATATTAATGAAATTACTGTGAGTTGAATCGATTTGTGTCACTGTGTTAGGTAGCGCAATCATAAATTATAATCTAAATAAATTACTGTAGGAAGGCAAAAGACTTAATGTTCGTGATACATGAGTATAGAGAAATAGTAAAGCATGTTGTATAACAAAATACAAGTACTTTGCTCTTATATTCTTTGTTTAGTTTGTTGTCTTGTATATCCCATCTGTTTGAGATATATGACATTTTTAACAGGCGGGATTTATGCCCAAAGCATATAAAGTGAGCAGATTGAATTCAATGCACTAAATACAATAAACGCATTACATGAAATATGTACCTCGCATCATAACACTTGTAATACACCTGAGAAGATTGTAATTATTTACAATAGTTGATATACATATTTATCATTCTTATTCCTTAATAAAACTTTATAAACGCATTTTATAAGTTATTGTGTTATTTTATGTCTTATTTATATGCTGTCTTGTAAATTTTTTATGAGCCATACATAGCCCTCCGTCCCCCTATGAGTAACCATATATCCCACCCCCTATGTGATATACGGCAAAAATGCAAGGGTTTAAAAAAGTTCATTTTTTAATACGCGCGCGAAATACAAATATTTCTAATATTTTTTTTATAATAGTAAACAGTACAAAATTTTTACTGATATGGATTGTTTACTTTAAATATAGTAAATAATACTTAATGAATTAAGTTTTTAATGGTGTGACGTATATATCGGAGTTACTCTATGGAAGTGTATTGAATTACCCACAGCAATATTTTTTATATTAAAATTCAATTTTTTTTTTAAATAAAATAGATTCCAATGATAAATTCTAATAATAAATATTTAGAGACAGATTATATTAACATGGTATTAACAAATGTTATTAGGAAGATTTATCATATACATATTTATTGTATAATATTTTTATACAATTTTATTTTAATTTACCAATACGAAATAAAAAAATATTTTACTACATGCTGAAATATTATTGGATTATATATAAATCGGATAGTATACACTATTATTATATTTATATATACGATAGAGTCGTTTGAAAAGTTTTGAGCCTCAATATGAAGATGATGTTTACTCGTCAAAACCATTCTGGAACTATAATTGTACATGCTTTGAAAGATACCTGTGAAAATTATAGCCATTTTGGACGTTCAGTTGTTGTTTGAGCTGTCATTTGTGCAAGTAAATGTCAGTGTTTTCAAAATGGAAAAAATATCATGCCATGATTAAGTTTTTGCATTTGAAAGGCAATATACACTTGCGCAAATTAAAACCGAGTTGGATGCTGTTTGCGAGAACTCTGTCCCATCATTTATTATTGTGAAAAGATGGACAACTGAATTTAAACATAGTCGTACCAGTTTGGCTGATGATGAGCATTCAGGACGGCCAACAACTGAGTTAAAGGGGAGGAAGCATCACTGAGAAAAGTATACCGACTTAAAAAGAGATTGTGTTGAAAAATAAAATTGAATTTCGAATTGAAAAAAATACTAATGTTTCTATGTTAGGCTCGACTTTTCAAATGATTCTCGTATGTGTTATACGTTACAACGTTTATATACATAAAAATTATTGTAATATAAAAAAAAATCTGGAAAAGAATCTAATTAGATAGGATAGAGCGGGATTATTCTGTCATTTTCAACCTCAAAGTAACATAAAGTTTATGACAACAAGCAATATCTTTTTGCAGTAACAGCTTATAACCTTATACAATCATGATTGCTTCTTGAGAGTACACGTATGACTTTTAATATAAACAATATCGTGAGAAATGGCCCCGCTCTATCCTATTTATATATTTTGCACAGTTACATTTATAATAAAAAAATGATATTTTATATATGTATGTACAAGAGCAATTGTAGATATTCTCTAATTGTAAATATTCTCTAATATATAAAACTAGAAATATAATTATTCGTAAAAACATATTCTAACAAACTTTACAAACTTTAAATTAGCGCTTATTTCAACTTATTTGATATTTTGATACGATCACTGTTCAGTTAATTCTGTCAAGTTAATTCTGTAGAATTCGAAAGGATTACACGGCAATCTTTAAACGAGCACACAAAACTGAAGCAAAATTGTCGACGATTTTCGCGTGTCCGCTTAACGAGCGGATGATCGTTCGGGAAATGACTTTCAATTTCGAAGCTTTCGTTCGGCCCACAAAGGCAGATGCCAGCTCGTTCTCCGCGCAACCTACAATTTGTCGAATCGCAAGACTAATTGGACGTCTTGCCGTCAAATTCGCTTCTCCAGTTTCTGTCATATCACGCGCATATGTGCCTTCTGGCTGAACACTCGCCTGTCTACCATCGACTGTCCATCACGCGTTGCTAAGTTATACATCCTGCTTATGAAAAAGAAGAAGAAACGTTGAAGAAACGAAGAAATCATTGCTTACTACGCGTTCGCTTCGTCTTTCGAATTTCTACATCGAATTTACGTCGACAAAACATATGTCTGTTTGCAACTATAAATTGTAATAAGCTAACGATGGAATAGATACTTGCGGTTACTTAGGAAAATAGACCTGTGACGATTTTGTGCTGATGCACGTTACCAAGAATGAGAGAGTATGAGAGTAATTTCAAAAGTATTGTCGAGTTGATGATGATTAAATTAAATTAACATTCTATCACTGCCAACGTAAAATTGTACATTCTGTCATTTTTATAATAAACATTATTGTTGCTATTACATTTAGATAATATAACATGCTCTTTAATAAAAATAAAATATGTCTATTCTTTACATATAAATATCGTTTTTAATTTCTTTCTCATAAAAAGACACATTTTCAAATACATTTATGTAGCATACTAAGTACATAATATTTATTAAGATAATTATTAATGTTCGATACGTGGTGTATCTCTCCACAAAAAAATTGTGAAAGCTTATAATTTGGTATTAATGATGCAATAACGATGTTCATAAATTTCTAGTTTGATTTAGATTTTTAGTATTTTTCTGTATTTTTCTGTATTTTTTTACCTAATATACTCATAGAAAACATTCGCTTATTATAAAATGTTATTTTGCTAGTCAAATAATTATTAAAGATTTTAATACTTCTGGTTTTGATATTTCTATATAAATGCCATACATGTTATTTGAATTTTTTCAGTCTTTTGAGAGAGAGAGAGAGAGAGAGAGAGAGAGAGAGTAGGATAGATTTAAGGTAGAAGCTCTGTAATGGCATATAACTAGGTTCATGTGGTTGTTGCTCCAGGACGATCTTCACGTCACAGCAGCTGGAGGCGCTGGAGGCAGCTTTCAAGGAAGCCCATTACCCTGACGTCTATGCCCGCGAGATGCTAAGTCTGAGGACTGATCTACCTGAAGACAGGATACAGGTAAGCGAAAATAAAAAAATTTATTTTTACGTATAAATTAAGATAATTTTATATATAGTAAGATAAAATTGAGCATTTTTAACAAATTAAAATTTAAAATAAATTACAGATAAGTAATTAATTTTAAATCGAAATTAGAACGTGAGAAATCTTTATAGCAATAACATCTAGAATATAGGCTATTTTTAGTCTAACTTGTTTAAATAAACTTAAATAGCAAATTATGTATATATTTGTGCTACTATGTTACTGTGCTACCACAGAAAATAATTTCCTACAAGGTCTATACATATGTATATATATATATATTTATTTATGTATCCCTAAATTTCTTGGAGCAAAATCTCATTTCAAAAAAATGATAATATTGTCGCTATTAAAAAAGAATGAAAATATATATACTCTTAAATAAGAGTGGCAGATTTCACTCTTTTCTTTTTTAAATAAAATTTTAACCATTTGGAGTAAGATTAACTCCAAAAAAGGAATATGACTTCCTTTCTTTGGAGAAAATCTCATTCCGGAAGAATAAAATCTCATACAAAAAAACTGCCATTCTTATTAAAGAGTGTAAATATTTTCATTCTTTTAAAATGAGATTTTATTTTAAAAAATTTAGAGAGTAGATCCTCTCTGACCGCTTTTCCCCTTTGCGACAATTACATAAGCGTTAATAAATGGTTATAATTGCAAGAATTGACCAATCACTGTAAAATATTCACCTCAAATTCGACTGTAATTGGTCAATTTTTATAACTACAACCACTTACAACTACAGATAGTAATAATGTATTCTTCTTACAGACTCTCAAATTCAACAACAAAAAATTCAAAAAAATCAGGGCAAATGAGAGTCAGCGTGATAGTTAATACGCAATCTTAAATTTTTATTCCAGAAAATAGAATCTTTATTTAAAAAAATAGTACATTTCAGTTCACTTTGGAATCATCCTCAGCAATACAATTTCAGAATATCAATCCCTTCATATTCAAGAAAAATCTGATGGTGATTTTTTTCTTGGACGTGAAGAGATTGATATTTTGGAATTGTATTGCTAATTGAGTCCCTTTTTGCAGCATTGGTTTAATTGTCACTCTTAATAATCACTCCTTAGAATTAGATTTCATTTTAAAGATTTTAGAGAATAGAAAAGAGACTTTCTGTTGCGAGATCTGTGCTGTACTTGGCAAAGCAAAACATATGACCGAAGCAAATTGTGTTTCTTTTAAATATTAGTATGCAATAAATATGCGACGAATTATTACAAAATATATTAGGTGTTGGAATTAATTCGTAGCGTTTTACAAGTGATGGGAAGTACTTTCATTAATGTATTTTTTAATGCTCATGTGAAATAAATAACATTCTTTCATTAAAAACGCTACGAATTAATTCCAACACCTAATATTAGAATTGAGAGTGCCTTTGTGAAAGCTCCAATTTGATAAACTAATTTGGGTGAATGTTAGCTATAGTATTGACTTCTAAATCAGTTGGCTTTTATAAATTTAATGTAACAGCTCACTTTTGAAGCAAAATAGAGTACAAAGAGGTATATCAATAATAAAATATGCCTTCAAATCTAAATTTTTTTACTCTATTATTTTTTTATTGTTTCAATGATAGGAAGAAAAAACAAAAGAGAGCAAGAGAGAGAGAGAGAGAGAGAGAGAGAGAGAGACTCTTCAAGTATCATAACATGCAGTTTTCATCTATGCTGTCCCAATTGCGCGCGTGTGTACATTAGTGCGGTTTGCGTATATTGTACATCAGAGGTGCCTAAGTGGATTTAACTAAGAGAGTCCGCACCTTGCATCCCCACTACTAACTTATCACGCTTGTCGATTCGCATCGTAGACTAGGGGAAACGGGGAGAGCATGTGGGAGAAAATGGCCCGCGGGCCACGACTCGGACACTTCTGTATATATGTGAATAAGCGTTCCCAACATACGACATATACATATGCACACAACCTGTACGCGGCAGCCAGTGATTATATTTTGATATAATTCGAGGTACGAGGGCGGCTGCCGCGAGCGGCGGGGGGGGGGGGGGGGGGCTGGTGAGCCAAGTAGAAGGGAGACTGGAAGAGGGGAGGACTGGGGAATCGCGCGGGGTGATGGCATGGGGTTGTCGAGGCTGCTTGAAGCGTGCAGGCGCGTACACATAGAGTACCGGGGAACGACAAAGCGGCCATTACAGGATGGGTGCGGTCCCGCGGGCCAATCAGAGAGAGGAGTCAGGGACCGGACGGCCAATCAGAACGCGCTTTCCACCCGTCTTTTGTTTCTAAATTTGCGCGCGCGACGGGGACACAATATAACGAGGCGCGAGACGGAAAGAGGAGCTGATAATCGTTAACGGGGATATTTTTGCATGGAGAGGTGGCGTCTTTCCTTCTCTATCGCTCATTTCGTCTCATTCCTTTTTATTTTGTCGTGTATGCAGTTTTACTCTTTATTTTCAAATTTATTTTTGTCTTTCTTTGATTGAACTAGCGAGTTATTTAGATGTCGCACAGTGTTTTTGTACGTTATTTGAATTTAAAAAATTTTGAATTATGTATGACTATTAAAAGATTTATCATTTTATGTTATATTTTAAATAAACATAATCTACGAATTATATTTATGTATATAAAATATACCTACAGATTATGTTTATATGTACAAAACATTGTACATTATTACTTGAAAACTTTTCTGTTTGTAGTATAATTATATCTTGCTATTTATATTAGTCCATTAAATATATTTATTTAATTGCATTTTTGAATTTTTAAATAATGTATAAAGCAATGTATAAAGCAATGTTATGTAATACGTTTACGTTATATACTATATATAAATTTTTTAATACTTATAAATGTAAAAAAAAAGTTTAATTGATATACAATTAGCTTGAAAAATTTTAAAAAGGAAGTATTTAGGTATTAATAAATTAAAGAAAGCAGTTATATTTTTTTAAAAATTATGATTTAATAAGGTTATTAATGACGAAATCGTAAATAGTATCAAAATGTAATTAGCTTTCTAAAAAAGAAATATAGATACACTGTTTATGAAATTAGGCAATTACAAGATAACAAATGAATGTTACAAGGTACAAATGCATTTGTCTATATTTCACATGTCTTTTTTTTCTTTTGTGAAGAATAGTGTCAAAATGATAAAAAATTGATTACAGTTACCTACCTAATATAAATAAAAGATTGAATAAAATTAACTGAATTAATATTTTTTATTTTTTGAATCTGCAATTAATAAATATTACGATTCTAAGAAACTGTGGAATGGAAGATTTCCATTCTAATTGTCTTTTTGGTAATTTGACAATAAATCGATTTATGAATGCCAAAGTATTATTTATTTATATTTATGTTAATACTATTAATGGTTTTAGATACATTGACCTGATCTAGGTAGAATTAATTAGTTATGCTTATTAAACTTCACAAATTTGTTAATCATTATCCTTATTATGAATATACAAGATTTATAAGGAAATTGTTCTAATAAACATTTTTATATGAAGTTATTTTAATGGATATGATAGAAAATAAAAATAATTTATACAATGATAAAAGACAAAGGATTGATGAGATTCTTACAATAAGATGAGAGTAAAATAAGCGGCATTTATGTGCATTGCATTTGCGCGCATTATAATTTTAAACAATATTTGCACTAGTATTGAATGAAGTTAACATTGAGTTATACATCGCTAAATTTGTGTAAAGTAACAAATAAAGTTTAAATGAATAATGTAATCAAAACACTTGTTATTTAATTGATTGCATGAAACAGATTTAAAAATTATTTGATTATTATATTTTAGCAACGGAAACTATCGTTAAATACTACAAAGCTTATTTTATACGTTTCTTGATCATCGTTCTTATTATTATTAGTACAATAAAATTTTGATACTTTTGTTATCATTTTGCCAGTGTTACGGTTGTACCCGAACTGAAATATCGAAGAAAAGCAATCGAAACCTCCTGCGGTGAAGTTAATCGAAATGTCTTCAACAGATTGTCGTATTGGTCTTTTATATTTGAACTTTATATATAAAATATTACTATATATATGATAAAACATACGTTTGTATTGGAATGAAGAGAGCAATTGATGGTTTTTCTTGATCGTAATTTTTTTAGTGCTTTACTGTATTACATAACTACTGTGCAAGATTAAATGCTTAGAACTTCTAACACACAATCAGTTTCCCTGTATACGATATAAGGGAGGCAATTCGTTATAGCGAGCTCATGTTCGCAACTTGGCTGCGTCTGATTGGCGGGTAGAATCACGCACAAACGGACATAATTTCGGTGATCTGAGGGTTATGATTTCTTATGGGGTGCGCGTGAAAATTGCACACTGTGCTATTCCTACCAGTTTTGACGCGATCGATAGGAAGGGTTCCATGTTGCGGAGTGATTCACACTAAATTATAATAGAAATGAATTATTATATGATTATAGAGCTGCATGAATCAAGCATTGTAAGAAAATAACTTAGTTAATATTTTATTCTATGCTTCATTTAATGTTGTCGATGCTATTTTGCTTTTGTTCCTTTAGTTGTTCAACTTAGTTGACTGTAGTTAACTGAAATTTAATAAGAAGAAGGAAAGGATTTTTTTTACATGAATAAGGAATGATTTTTTATTTAAATAAAAAATTTGCTTATTAAATATTATATAGGCGAATAATTTGTTGAATTATACGATTGACTATGTTGATCCAAGAGTTCTAAAATTTTTTGTATTTTCGCAAGGGCGACGATTTTTTTCCTTGGAATAATTTATTGCGCGTAACGAGAATGTGAACTCGTGAAGAGAAAGATGATGTATAGGATCGTGCCAGTGTTCCGTCGTAAGCGGCCCATTAGCAAGGAATTTTGACGTGATTCACACAATCGTCACGCGTCCGTTTGGACGAAGAAAGCAGAAGGATGGAAAGCCGCCTTCGAGTCGAAGAGAAAAAAAATTTAT